TCTTCACCTACATTAACTACTTTCCAATAAAAACTAACCGTTTTATATATGTAAAAAATATATTCGGAAAATTAGAGAAAAAAGTAAACTAATAGAAGCTTGGATGAAAGCAGTAGGTATCAAAGAAGTGAATTCCGTAATAAAAATTTGTTCACGTCATTTTAATGCACATGATTATATTTTATGAAGTATTTACCATCAGCCATAACCTTAATATTTAAAATTAGAATCGTACTAAAATTATAAAGTGAGAAATTATTTATTCCTGTGTAATTGATTTAACACAATTCTAATGATACGATATAAGTATTTTGAGGTTCAGAACCTACCTGCTGCAATACAACAAAGTTGCAATAATGTGTTTTGCAACGTTATCTTAAATCGGCTTTGCACGTGCAAGTCATTGATATGATATTGCTTAAATCATCTTGTTTGTAAAAAGTAGGCAGTAAACTTGACGGAATTTGTTATTTCCGAATTTTATAATGTGATTGGCATTAAAAACACGCTCACCTTCAACAAAATTTCCTTTCCGAGGCTTTGTGTCAGCCCAATCACATATTGTGTCAAAACTTATCATTTTATCGTAATTTAAAAACTTGCACGGTACACTATAGGAACTACGATAAATTTTCCCTAATCGTCGCCATGTTTTTAGGCTCCTCCCATTTGACGGATCCCAATAGTGTTTAAACTACTTTTTGAATGGGACTTCATGTGGTTTGATTGTATTTAATGAAAAGATCCCAGAACGTATATATCAACCGTTAACCGTTGCTGTTTTGCCGAGTACTCGGTTATCCGGTACCCGGCAAAATTACTATCCGGTTCATCCCTATTTTAAAGGTTCCTTTAGCGAAAATTAAGTATTACAATTTTGTAATGTCACAGAAATTGTTTATTAACTTTTAAAATGTCAAAATAATTTTAACTAACAAAAATGCAGTTAACTCTATCTGACAGAGACCTCCCCCTCTTTTCATTTTTATTTCGAAAACATCTCATTAATATATGTATTTATAAATACATAAGGAAATTGACATTAAAAAAAGGCATTTAAAATATTAAAATATAAAATGTTTGAATATATATA